GATGTTCCATGATTTCCAACCTCATTTACCGTGTTAAATCGTGTTAGACCATGATGGACCATGCTTCTGACCTCATTTACCGGGTTAAAAGATGTTAAAAGTTGATAAAACATGATAACGGTGATAAAACGTTTTAACTCATATTAGACAACGATGGCTGTTAAACCAACTTCAAAAGTACCCCTCTCCCATAATTTTGGGCCGAGGAATCCGAATTTGATCATGAAATTTACAAATTTTGACATCGCCCATACAAATATTTAAAAAATAAAAATCGACCGTGATGGAGTAGTCCAATTTGGTCCAAAACCTCATGGTGACCTAGATCTCGGTCCAAAGTATAAGGGTGTAAAGTTTGGTTCAGATCGGTTGAAAATTGTGAGAGGAGTTAAGGACAAAAGAATGGCATTTCGTTTTTATAATATAGATATGTTTGTTCAGTGATTTTAGGGAAAACCAGAAAAGATAGAGAGTTCGGGTTTTCGGCATTCGATAGGGCATGAAAAACCCTCCAGACGTATTTTTTATTTTCCCCATAAGTGCTCCCCATTTAATTTTTTCATTCATGGACCCTCTTTTTTGGATTCCACTTTGAAAAATATTTCGATTCCACTCACCATTTATTGAGTGGATAACGAATGGATTCGGGTGGATTGACGTTTATCCGTAACTTCATTGGTTGGATAAAAGATGGAATAAATGAGTTTTACTTCAGTGTTAATTTGATTACTTTGGATCTAGATGAAACTTGTTGAAAAAAAGTTGGAGACACCCGAGGTACCAAATTGTTTTAGACTCCTTATAAAATTACCTTTCGAATGGTATATAAATTATGGAGTTTCCGGCAGGTTTGATGGCGTTTTACGCTGGCCGTTTGGCCGAAATATGAAAAATTGTGAGAAAAATCGGCTTCCGAATCTTATTGCAAGCAACCTAGTTCTATGATTTTGATGAAACTTTGCCAGATGATAGCTCTTGAAGCCCTCTTTCCAACGGTATATAGCTTATTAGCCAATCAAACTTGTGAATGTGTTTCCCAGGTGGCCGTTTGAGGCCAAATTAGTGAAAATATTGGCAAAATCAATTTTCAAGGTGTAATTTATTTTAAAAAAATTGTGGCAAAAAATTCAAAATATGAATGTCGAGTAGTTTGTTTTTCTTAGTAGTACGGTTCCACGTTTCACATTAAGCTCTACGGCCAAAAACTGGCAGTGTATTTGAAATTCAATTCGTTTCTCCACTAAGTATGGAATATTTTGCGGGCGACTTACGTTTGTAATTTTATCATTGCTGGATGTTAGCGTTTTAAGTTTTCCGAGCACGTAATTTTAACATAATTTTTCCACTTTCGATGTTATACTCGTTCAACATTGTTACCCCATTTTTGTTTTTTCTATCGTAAAATGAACTTTTTTGTTTCAAATTGAAAAATTTCGGGAAAAAAAAAGAATCATGCTGTAATGATGCTATGTTCTCTCTCTCACTTTCTTCGCGTTTTTCCACAAAAAACGCTCGCTTTGTGTTAAAAACGGTTTACAAAAATGAAACTTGATGAAATTGACTAAAACCAGCAAAAAAAAAACAAAACAAAGTTTTTTTTAGCTTGATTTAAACAAGTAATCAAAGCGTTGCATTACATATGCATTATGCAGGTTATCTTATCGCATTCTCTGCAACAATGAGCTCAACTACGTGATTGGAGTGCATGTGCTTTTCAATGCCTTTGTAAGTACTATCTGCAAATGACAAATAGGAAGTGAATTAAAACTTAAAAAAACAGCAGCAGCAGCTCAACTCACTCACAGTCAGTGCAATTTACACAAAATCAAAGCGCACCAAATGAACGCAGCAAAAAGAAGAAATTTATTAGATTTGCTGCTGTGTTTATTGCGATGCGAATAATAAACGTGTTTGTGAAATGTCATGCAATCCATTGTCAAATTTATTTGACCTGGTAAAATGTTGAGCATATTTCGCGCTGTCGACGCTGTCACAGTGTCATCGAAATTCTAAAGTTGTACTAGTGCTTAGTGCATACAGCCAGTGCATATTACTGCGACCACATTTAAGCGCATATTGCTCTCTTGAGTTTTATTCTTTACTTTCTCTCGTTTCGTACACTGTCTATGAACTGCATGTCAACGTACAACTACAACTGTTTTACTTGAGGGGATTCTCGACAATTTTTCAACATCCACACAAATTTTCCCGATTTCCTGGGAAAGACTTTGACAAAATGAAAGGAGTGACGAGGAAGAGTACCAGAATGAAGAAGAAAGAGAAAAAAGATAACACACACATACAAACATCCAGAATGCCAACAACATCGAATTTACAAAATATAGCTAATGGCTTATTCAACATCATCTCATGACAATGATATCCAATATACACAGAGCGTTTTATGGGTCACCGTTTTGTGTGTGGGAATCAGAAAGAGGGAGAGAGAAGTGCTTTTGTTTGCATAAGCACTTGATGCCAAAATGATATGCACCGTTGGATTTTCGAAACGATTTATCCGAATGACATCTCACTGAAAACGATGTGTCACTTGGAATTTTGATTTCATTTAATGCTGAATAACCCAAGTCAATCCACATAAATCTTTACTGAAACGTAATAAAAAAAAAAGTGTCCATCCAGCGACTCTCCATGTCAAAAAGAAAACTAAGAGAATAGCTGTGCTGGATTTTCAAGTGTTGTCAATTTTATTTATTTGAATAAATATATTAAATGGTTGAAAATGTAAATATTAAACTACTTTGTATCACGTCGCCAAAGTGCTTGTGCAATTCTTCTAATCAATGAGTCCGTATCGCGGAAAAAATCCGATTGTTCTGTTCGTTTTGTACGTTTTGCGCGAATTGGATCGCCGATAGGCGTTTGTGAGCGATAGTAGTCATCTTCGGTGCGTGCAAATACTTTTTCCGGACCGTCAAATGTTTGTTTTGCACTTTTATAAGGCACGTAATCATCAATATCCGGCTCGATTGATTGTGCAATTTCCTCGACAATTGACTCAACATTGATTGGAACCTCCAATTCGATCGGCACAGAGAGGTTCAGTATCGTTATGCATGGCGGCGATTGTTTCAAATTTCTCCAATTGCGAACATTCGATTTTTTTGAACACAGTCGATATTTTCTATTGACAGCGGTGATGCGACGGATCAAATGTGAATTGACTGTTATTTCCAGAGGTACTCGATACGTTTTTGCTTTTCCTGCTATTGCATTGATGCGTGGTATACGTTTCGGTTTCACCAGCGATGCTATCGGGGCATTATTTTCATTTGCACTCACCACAACTGTTAACTGTTTCCAGTCTAGTGCAGGAGATTTCGACGCTGGAAAACAACTGATTCCCTTTTGGATAAAAAAAAAACATATTGATAATTGGTGATAGTCCACTGAAAATGATAAAAAAATAAAGACTACAATTACCTGAATCAAAACGAATTGCACACCAACGATTATTAACCCGAATTTCATCATCCAATGAACAATATTTTGACAAATAATTATCGAAACTTAATAAAAGAGAAATTCCATCTCGACTTGATTTGAAATTGAATCACTTGAATGACTACAATAAGCGTACGATATTGCTTATAACATTGAAATTGGTTGCAGAACGAACTGTATCTGTTTACAAAATTCCAATTTATTTTCGTTTAAAATATGTCATTGCTTTCATCAATTAAGAATGCCAAAGAGCCGTATATGGTTTTCTGTATACTTTCTGTATGGGGCTTATTGTCATAAATTCTTCAAGCGTAAACATGCCGCCGGAATACTAAAGGTTGTTTTGAATTTAAACAGATGCGTAGCCCAAATACCGAATTTATTCTTCTATACCTCTCTCTCTCTCTCTCTCTCTCTCTCTCTCTTTCTCGGCTTCTCAGTCGACTTTGATCAACAGCAATTTTCGATTTGAATAAAAAAAATGTTTTTGTAATTCATTGAGTTTGAGTATCAATATCGTTTGTGTTCTGTTCATAAATATGCGTTTACATACTATGAAGATTCATCAAGTTCCATCAATGCATTTTGTATTTCAAAGTGAACAGGTAGGTAATAAAATCGTAATGTTCACTTTTGTGGTTGTGGGTTCACCGCCGGTTTGTGTTGTTTATATGTCCAAAGTCCTATCTGCGGTACAACTTACTTACAGCACGTCCGTACGTCAATCCAACCGAAATTATTCATATCGCTTTTGTGATGCAATTCGTGCTTGTACCGTTCTGCAGAACTCGATGCAATCATAGAGGATAGTTTGATTTTACCGCAATGCAAACCAGCAATCACATCACGAAACATACCAAACATTTTGCACAAAACCTTATATTCAAAAGAGATCTTCGAGCAAAGTAGACGGTAAGCATTTTGGTATACATAATCATATTCAATGCCATCGCATTAGTGCGCTGTTTATTTTCTGGTCCCAAAACATTGCCTTTTTGATTGAACACATCCTGTGCACATTTCGTATCTTCAAGATATGCTTTCATCCGTTGTTCGGGCGTATACGAGCATTCCGATGCATCGCATTTGCCCCCATGGCAAATTTCAAACATAATTTATGAGTTATCCGAATTACACTTGCATTAACTAAATTGACATACACAGAAGCGAGCCTTGAAGGTCTAAATTATTATCACTAGACTTGAATTCGTGATTTTTGGTTTAGTCAATGCTCAAGCACCGTTCTGTCCATGGTGGATTACACAATGTTTTGATTATAAACAGACGAAACGAAACCCACATCCGAATTATACCGATGTAAATTCAACTAAGTCATTACCACACAGGACACATCAGACACGCACGCAAATACCATGAGATTTTGCAAATGAATGCATCACTCATTATCGAATATTATTTCACACATTTGCCAATTTGGTTTTCACAAACAATGGCCAAAAACTTGTGTGGATGCACGACACGCCGTTTAATTTTGTTACGCACAATCACTTTTTGGGTATGTCCATCGAATAGTTTCCCGTTTCAGTGGTTTGAAACGATGAGTGACGCTTAGGCGTTTGAATTCAAACAGAATGCAGGATTATTGGTTGATTTTTGTCAGTGTGGTGTGTGTGTGTGTGTGTGGTATGCGACGGTTTTGAAATAAATTCCAATGAAAGTGCGACAAATCAGTTGATAGCATTCATTTCACACAAAATCAAAGTATGTGGAGGAAGCATGCCTGCAAAGGATTTTATCACGACATCGCAAAAATGCAAATTCAAAGCAACATTCCCTGTAATCAGCATGATTACATTTTTGTTTTTGCTGTCGCTAAAATTCAAAGCGGCAAAGCCATGAAAGTCTTTGAAACAGACCATTAACGTTGGCTTTGGTATTCTGTAAATCACCACACACTGTACAGATATGTTTTATCATTTTATCAAAAAGTCGAATTACAAACACGTCAAAGAATCACCTCAACGTATTGAATAACACGAAGAAATTAATTTCGTGTATATCCATGTTGCTAACAGAATTTATAAAAAATATACAATTTTCAATGCACTCTATATTAATGAAAGCAATTGTTTTGAATTTCATGCGACAATGGTCGGCTTTGTGCATGCACAACACTTTAATTTAAGTCTAATTTATTGTTATTCCATGAAAATAAATGGATCGAAATAATATTGTATTGTTTTCCAAAAGTGATGTAATTTAAAAATGGCTGCTTTGTAACAAAATACACCCTTTATTTTGTAGATATTTCATAAGTGGCGTCTTCTTGGATAATCGGTCGCAATGTTTGTATGGTCAAATGCAGATTTATATACTCTATAGCATTGTTAGTTTGGAAAAAATGAAGCATTTATCTATAAGAGAATAGTCCACAGCATGTTTTGGGTGCTGAACACTTTATGAGTTATTGTTCAATTCGCTACACATTGTTTATCGTACGAATTAAATCTGTATCTGGGTTTGAAATGCCATTCATTTTTGTTCATTTCAATTTACTGTAGTTTTTTGTCTTTTTTTTTCGTCCAATGGATTAAGTGAAATCCAAATTGAGCCTTTTTTGTTCGTGAAGTTCATTTAAGTTTCCCGCTGGCATATCTCAAATGAAATGCAAAGAACTTGCAATTTTAAATTCCATTTCCAAAGTCGGACCCAAAATTTTGAATACTCGGTCGAATGCATTGAATACCATATGCAGTGAACAGATTGGTTCAATTCTAAAGCAAAAACATAAAAAGTGTCCTTTTGAAAAAAATTTACAGATTAATCACCTTTTTGTACCAATTTTCATCACGTTAAGTCACCCTTTTGTCGTTTGTGACCGAATTAGATCTGGCTTTCAACACGCTACTACCACTCAGTAACTTATGCATATTTCATCGAGCCTCAACTAGAGTTATATCCAATACGTACCCTAATACGATGATTGCTTTGCACACATTATATGCTCTGTTTTTTCAAATTCTCATCCACCTTTGATCACTAAAAGTGTGTTTATCCAGCGTTGATCCAAAAAACCAATTGATTTCAAAATGATGTGTGACAACGGTCAAACGGCGCTTGCGCGTCCATCTGTGCATCGTTTAGACAATTTTAAATTTCAGTCAATTTTGTTGTGATGTGTTTGCACTGAAAATTTTGCCGAATTGACCATTTAGTAGGGCATTTTAATTAACAAAAATGTAAATGTGAAAGTAATCAAATCAAAGTTCACATTTCAATTTATGTACGTTGTGCATACATAACGCCGGGCCCAAAATCAATCGATTCTCATTATTATTTTATTTACCGCAAAAAGCTGCAGAACAACGTTACAATTTATCGAATTTGTTAGCATTTAAACTGAGCAATGTATTTACAAATTGCATAATTACATTAGAAACGATTAATTGAAAAAGTTGTAACAAAAAGTTGTTTTGTAATGAAAATTGATGGTTCGACTGGAGTTTCTGGGCGGAGTGGAAAAACATTCCAATTTTATGTTTGAATAAAATAAATGACAATCCCAGTTCAGTGTTGTTGTCTCTCGGTGAAAAGGCATAACGTATCACATGTGATTAGAAATGCATTATTCATTGTTGAATAATGCCATAATCAAGCCATATAATTTCTGAAAATAGCACAATTTCACGTGGGAATAATCACGAATTGTGTGCACTAGTTTTTCCAATTGGTTGTTGGAACACGAGAGATAAAAAGCACATGCTTTTTTGTCGCTTTTTGCCCATGAATTGAAAAAAGAAAATGCGCAGCACGAATTCAATCGAAATATAATAGATGATTTGTCGAGTCTCAGTTGGTTTCAAAATCGATCACATAAAAAATGCGATTTTATCTGATGCGACTATGTTTATTTTTCAAATTCATGGCAATGAGACAGAAATCTACGTCGTCTGCTAGAATGTAGGCGACAACGGCGGAGACATTGAGAGTGTAAACGAAACCGAAATCGAATATTCGATTAAACCGCATAGACATAGTAGCAGGCAAAATCGATTACTCAAGACATTTTTATGATTATTAAATTCCATATCATTCGCTTCTCTTTTCAGATATGACATTTTCCTACCGATTTAATCATATGCGACATATTCTCATGCATTTCACAGCGAACATTTCGACCTATCCTGCATACATAAACAATCGCAAGCATTATTTTGAATGTTTTACACACCGAACAATCTGTTTATGCGTGCTTGCCCGTACATTGTTGCCACAACAGCATCGAATAACCGAATAACGGTATAGATTGTGAAATATACAAATACTTGCATTTCCATAATTCCATCCAATCGAAATTAATAATGAACATATCGCATAAAATATATTCAAATTTATTTTGATGACAGGTGCTAAAGCTGTCAAGATACTCTTAGGTGCATGTCGCTGCCTCCCCCCCATGTCGTAATAATGTTGATTGCGCCGTTCTTAAGATCTTGCCTCAAAAACACTAATCACACCAACAACGGCAAATGTAATCAATTGATGGCGCTGTATCTGCATACAAGCGACCATTTGGTCATCGTTGTGTGTGACGAAAAAAATGTTTTATATTGAATATATTCCAACATTATATAAACTTTTGATCATTGCCAAAGTGGGTATAAATTTGATTGTTTTAATTTATTTTCTTTTGCGTTACCCTTGGCTTAATTCTTCTTCTTCCTCTTAGTTCCATTTAATTTAACTTATGATTATTTTATAAGCGATTTATTTTGAGTTATTAATTGTGAGTACTTGAATATTATGTTGTTGTGAATTCAAACAACAAGTGAGTTGACGCAGGTAATGTCAGCACATTGGTGAGTCTTTTTAACCATCAAAACAAAATATTTTTGTAAATCCATGAGAATATTTCAAACTCAAGCGCAACTAAGCAAGAATATTGAAATCATGGAACATAACTTCCATCAAAACTCACTGTTGCGTTTAATTACAAATGTGCAGAGAATCACGCAATGTTCAATCAAATTTATGGAGCATATGCGAATACACGCCACCATGAACACATAATTTATAATTTCTGATTTGCATTACGTTCCGCTTGACCAGAGTGGTATCGAACACCTTTGAACACACACATTTATTTACCTTTGAACAAAATTAAACATATGTCATTTCAACGTTCATTATCAGCTTTGATTGAAAATTGTTTAATACTCAAAATTGTGGCCTATCAACTGTTGTAGCAATCAAAAATCATTCATCATCAAGCACGGAGACGTGAGTTCGGCAGCACCAAATAAGCACTAAAAGCCCCAATCATTTTCAGCGTAGCACTAAAACTGGGGGGGCAGCGACATGCACCTAGTACTCTTTGAATATTTATATTTAAATTGCATCGGGATACAGTGACGAAAATTCGTACCTCTTCAAACTCTGAACGTAGTTGAATAAAATATTAGCGACTGAAAGGTATCAGATCGATATGTTTAATTTGCAAAACTCAAAAATTTGGATAATTTAAAGTGGTAAACAAAAGACAAAATTCACACATGACTTGGAGTGAAAAATAGCTACCTGATATCTGGTCTGCTACGCGTGTTCTTGGCTTTGAGGCACATTCAACATACAAATTTATTCGGATATCTTTTTTTCCGTTGATCCGGACTTACCTCAGCAGTTATGTGACTTGTAATTTTTGTGTATACATAGTTTGGAGTTGATAAAAATAGTGTAAACATCGAGTTATCCAACAGTTTTTCACTAGGATTTTCTTTAACTCTATGAGCACACTTCCAGTGTATTTAATTAATCGTCAATGTAGAATGTTCGGTCAAAGAGATTGCAGAAAGCAATCAAACGATGGAATTTTGAACACTTTTTTTATATATTCAAAGTAAGGTTAACAAAAGGGAAAGACACAGGAATGTTAAGCGAATGGACATTCATTGGAAGCGTTGAGAAGTTATGCGAATGATGTTGACATAAAATGATGAAGAATGATGTTGCAGAGCAGATTGTCTCGACGTGATTTGACAGAATGTACTCTATAGAAGTATATGGTATTTGTCCATTGGAGCAGTTTGGTGTCGCGAAACATTCATTAAAACTACATTACACTGAAGTTGTTGGTAGCTTGTGTTTAGAGCACTTGTTACATCACACATTAATGCATGTTTATCAGATACACAAGCGTGAAAACTGTGCTCCAAGCCAAAGTTTGCTGTATATTTTTTAATACAACGAGAGAGTTGTTGATGATGATGTGATGTCTACTGTAATGTTGTGATTTAAGCCATACAATAGAACTAGAATAGATAGATATTTCATGAAATTGCGGCTATTTTGGTACATTCCAATTCTTACACTTTGAAACCGTGAATTTTAGATAAATAGCTATCACAAAATTGAAATGTAATTGGATCGTTATCAGCAATACTCCACTCTCGATTTTAAAATAAATCGAATCTATTTAAGGTCACCAATAAATTTCTTCGCTCTGCTTAACACAGTTGTGTAATATGAATAATAATTTTTAAATATATTGAAATTAACTTCGACAGTAACATCATGGAAGTTGATTCGTTCAAGACTTGGATTCAAAAAGTAATTATTTTCTGCTGTAAAGATAAGACAACCTTTTTATTGAAAATGTTTTATCGTCTCAAGTGAGTTTTTTTACCTGCGGATCTATCAAAATACATAATCTTTTATTGCACTCAAAATGAAATGTCCAATGTCCAGGTTAGCTTATCATCCAAATAAATTAAACAAAAAGTGAAATGATATGTTAAATCCAAGTTAGCTTTGTTGGATAGCTTGTAGAATTTAAACGCTTTACGCGAGTATACGAGTTCATTTTTTAAAAAATAAAATGCTTAATCGTTATATAATAACTACGTTTCTGCTTTTGAGTATTTACTCGTTAGCTGGTGCGAGAACATCCATTGATTTGCAAATTACATTATCGAATGAGAGCAAATTAATTGGAAAATATTTGCGATCGAATACTGGAAGACCAATTAAGGCATTCACTGCCATTCCATATGCAAAACCGCCAGTTGGTTCACTTCGATTTAAAGTTTGTGCAATTCAGTACAATTTTTTTTTAAAGATATAACACCAATTTATCTTTCTCCAATAGGCTCCAGAGCCAATTGAAAAATGGGATGGTGAATACAAAGCAGTGAATGATGGTCCAGAATGCATTCAACGAAATGCATTTGTACACAGCTATATTGATGAAGGCACTGAAGATTGTTTAGTTTTAAACGTATATGTGCCACACTCGGTAAGACTAAACAATGGAATATTTCAAGGAAATTCAATAAAAATGGTTTTTAGTTTGAGGGAAATGTGTCGAATTTGGCTGTTTTAGTGTATTTCCATGGGGGAGGATTTTTAGCTGGCTCTGGTATCAAGACACTATATGATCCTACTTATTTTCTTGATCACGACATTGTGTTAGTCACGGCCAATTATCGTGTGGGACCATTGGGTTTTCTTAGTACAGAGGACGCCAGTTGTCCAGGTAATTTTGGTTTGAAAGATCAAGCGATGGTGCTTAAATGGATTCAACAGAATATTCAACGATTTGGTGGTGATCCAGACAGGTAATATTTCATTCGCTCATTTATTTCATTTTCAATGAACGCATTTTCCTCAACAGTGTTACCATATGCGGAGCAAGTGCTGGTGGGGCAAGTGTTACTTATCTAATGATGTCTCCATTAACTGATAGTATTCAAAAAAATTAGTCTGATATACAGATTAAAAATAATCAGACTTCTGTTTTGGTTTACATTTCAGGTTTATATTCCAAAGGTATTGCGATGTCAGGCACAAATCTGGCGCCATGGGCACAACCAGCTCATAGAGGAGTTGCTAAAAAGCGAGCAAAATATTTCGCAGAATATTTCAATTGTTACTCTCCAAACGATTGGCCCAAAACCATCGAATGCTTGCGACATGTACCAGCTGCCAATATTTCAGTGGCGTTTTACGATTTCTTTGTAATTGTCATGTCATGGTGATGGTGATTTGGATTTTTTTTTAATGCAGGAATTTGACACTGATCCCATGGTATTATTTCAACCCGTTGTTGAGCCTGACGTGCCTGGCGCATTCATAACGAAACATCCACGTGATGAAAGAGCCGAAACATCTTCAAAAATACCATTCATGACTGGGATCACCCATGATGAGGGTCTTATGAAATCATTACGTGAGATTGCATTTTCTATTCACTGAATTCAAATAAGTAAAGTGTTCTATACGTTCGAACGTGTCTAGCCATCGTGAATATCCCAGGATTATTTGAAGAGTTTTCCGCTGATTTAAAACGTGTCCTATCCATTTCGCTTTACTATGATCACCACAGTTTGTCTGTCCAAGACACGATAACGAGAAAGATCGACGATTTTTATTTCGGAAACAACTTTTCAAAAGATAAATTTACGAATTTGACGACTGTAAATCAGCATTGAATTCATGAAAAATGCCATGAACTTATGAAAATTTATGTGAATTTGTAGTTATTCGGCGATGGATGGTTTCTTGACGCAATGGACTCTTATTTACGAATGAGACTTTCACACAGAGATGCTGCACCCACCTACGTATATCTACTAACTCATAAAGCATCTGCCAGTTTCACTGAAATATTTAACGGTGATCCAGAGACATTTTATGGTAAATTGATAATCAAAGAACTTAATTTGAAATAATAAGAAAAAATTGAATGAATTTTAAAGGTGTATCTCATGCTGATGAGCAGCTATATTTCTTTCCGAAAAGAGAAAAACTCTTTTCGAACTCATTGCCAACAAAAGAAGATGACGAAATGCGCAAATCGCTTATACAAATGTGGGTAGACTTTGCTCGTACTGGGTAAGTGATTCGACTGTTGAATCGATTAAGAGAACAGCAACTTAAAATGTTTAAATTCTTCATATGGTAGAAATCCAACACCTGAATCGAGTAATTTACCGAAATGGGTTGAAGCAAAAGAATTCCCACTGAACTACTATCGCCTCGGTAATCTTAATTATGATGGAAAACCTATGTTTGGAATGGAAAGACATGGAATATTTGAAGAGCGTACTAAATTCTGGAGAGAAATAGAAGCATTTCAGCCCAGTGCCCAATCATAAAAAGAAGAACTGTAGATACCAAATACAAAACTCTTCATGTCGTTTATTGGATGTTTTATTCGTAAATACTAAAATATGTGTGTAAACAGTTACAAGTGGTAACATGTATTCAATGAATGTCACAGAATTCAAATGTACCAAAATAGCCGCTATTTTGTGAAATATATATAGAATATCTATCAATTCTGTTGTATGGATTTGACGCATTCCATCGCATACTAAAAGTTTTCACTTTAAATCTACATGTTATGACTCGTCAAAGCGCTTGATTATTTTTCTTTGAGCATGACTACTATGAGCTCAAAGCGTGTGAAGTTTCTTTGGAAAATTAACAGTGATGATGTTTCATTATAGACAGCAAAGTGTTTGCCACTTTTCTGTCAGTCATCATTCAAATTTGACTGTTTGATCGCTGCCTTTGACTATTTAGATCAAATGAAAAAAATCAAAAAAAAAATCAAAGAAATAACTTATTTTTAATTCCATAACGTGAGAAATCTTTTTAAATGCACCTCCAAAATTGTAGTGAAGTAAGCGCCGAAAGAAAGAGTAATTGGAATCGAAATAATAAGTGACGATGGAGTAGTTTAGTACATTTTTCTTGAAACTCAATGAAGGCACAACAAATAATAATTTGTAAATTCAAAGAGAATGAAGAAACTTTGCTTTATGTTAGTAATTTAAGGCCGGGAAATAATATTATGTCAAATCTTTTACAAAAAAGTAAATATCATAATAATCAATACCACATTTTACATTTCTGAAAATATTCCATTATTGTCATGTGAATTCCACTTGGAATGAGTGTATTGCTTGAAGAGACATGTAGGAATTACTCAATAATATATTTTTGAGCGATAAGACAATCACAATGTTGCATGGAGAAAGTGTTATTATTATGGCGATAGTTTTGAAGTATACTTCATACACAATCAGTTAATCTTGGTGGATTAATGCTATTATCAATGAAAATAAATTCAGCAATCAGGTACATTGATTAATAATCGATCATTTTTAATCACTTTTAACCAACCAACTAACCAACAGTGTGTACAACAGTACCAACAACAAAGCTTCACACTGATGTGAAAGTAATTGATTAAGTTTTTATTAAGAAATTTTTCTTATAGCAGAGTAATAGTGTAATCGCAAATTGAAGATAAGCAAAACAATGGATTGTATTCAAAGTTTGCTTAAGCAAACAAGCATATTTAACAACTCAAATTGTTGTCAATCAATTTTAATCACAACTTAAAAAATGTTGAATGAGATAACAAAAATGGCGTTTATCTTTGTGTGATAACATTTCGTTAAAGTTGTTTCTGCATCCAGTGGATTTCAGTCAGACTCTTATCGATAGTCATAAAAAGTTGTGAACTTATTCCAGGTGGTTTAAATTTCATTTCAGTCTACAGAAATGTCGAAAACTTTAGAAACATCGCCAAATGCCCGAATTAACAAGACATTATTGGATCGTTATGCAAAACTAGAAATTCCAGAAAATAAAGTGATTGTCACTTATATTTGGTTTGACGATTGCATTCGCAGTAAAGAGCGTGTGTTAAATTTAGCTCCTACATCTGTGAATGGTAAATTTGAATACATTCATAAAAATGGGAACTATTTTTTTTTGAATTAAACATTTCGATTGTTTGTTGTAGATATTCCAATTTGGTGTGCAGGACACGGGGAAGATGATGGAAGCTTATCTGAATGGTATTTGCATCCGTGCGCTATTTACAAAGATCCATTCCGTGGCGGTAAACATATTTTAGTGTGGTGCGAAACCTATTCCGGCGACGGGAAACCGTCCATCACTAACCATCGTAATAATTGTGCAAAAATAGCTGTTAAATGTAGCGCCGAAGAGCCATGGTTCGGAATTGAACAAGAATACCTTTTTCTCGATAATGATGGGCAGCCCTTAGGTTGGCCCAAAAATGGCTATCCAGGTCCAATTGGTCCGTATTATTGTGGAGTTGGTGCCGAGAGTGTATATGGTCGTGACATTGTTGACGCTCATTTGCGTGCCTGTTTGTATTCTGGCATAAGAATTTTCGGAACCAATGCTGAAGTCTTGCCAGGTCAATGGGAATTTCAAGTCGGTCCATCCAGCAGTGTTAGCGTTTGTGATGATTTGTGGGTTGGACGTTTCTTATTGCAGAGAATTGCCGAAGAATTTGGCGTAAGTTGATTACAATAATTTTTTGTTCTTACGCTACCATAATTCAATTACATGTTTTTTCGAATTCATAGGTTTCTGTAACATTAGATCCAAAACCAGTTCGAGGAGAGTGGTTTGGCTCGGGTTGTCACACTAATGTTTCCACTAAATCAATGCGTGCAAGTGGCGGAATTGAGGCCATTAATGAAGCGATTGAAAAGTTATCCAAATCCCATGAGAAACATATCAAAGCTTACGATCCAAATGGTGGAAAAGACAATGAACGACGTTTGAATGCTGGATGTGTTACCGCACCTATTGATAAATTCAGCTCTGGTGAGTACACTCTTTGAAATGGAAAATATTTGAAAAATAAAAATGTTTGATATTGCAAAATAGTAAATGATTTCGCTTGTATTCGATAGGTATTGCTGATCGCAGTGCCTCAGTTCGCATTCCAAAGACTGTAGCTGATGCTGGTTGTGGCTATTTAGAGGATCGTCGCCCTGCTTCAAATTGTGATCCATATATGGTTGTCGCCACAATGCTTTCTACCATTTGTCTCGATGAGTGAATGACATGCTACGAAAAGATAGACATTTGGTTTGATTATTTCTTTGTAATGAAGTTGCTATGCCACTAAAATATTAGAAATGGTAATTCAACCAAAATAAAATATTCATCTTTTCCATTACTCTAACTTAATAAAAAATAGTTTTTTTTTTTTATATTTGAAATAAAAAAAATGAAGATTTTTTTATGTCGGATTTATTTCATGTTTTTCAATCCAAAGGTTTATTCAATTTGTTATTTAATACGTGAACAACGATAAGATAAGATTATATAAAAGTGCTACAAGAAAACAAAAAAAGCAGAAAAATAAAACTGATTATGTGAAGAATGAGACTTTTATCATTTTGATTTGATGTTTTGCCTTCAAAATCATTATCTCTGATGTTACAAAATTGAATACGGTTCATGCCACAATGTAATCTTGGTATACGATCAATGAAATTCGAACTTTGCCGAACCTACAATTAAAAAATACATCAATTCGATTACTTCAAAATATTTGAATTGTTTGGCTTCACACTACTACAATTAATGATACACTACTAAGATAAAACAAAGATCAAGCGTCCACTAAATATTCAAAGTTGATGAGCTCTGTGTTCCGTAGAATACATTTCACCAATGTTTGCTGTGCAAAATCGCTGCTGACATCGCCATCGCTACCAGGAAAATCAAATTCAAATGGCATCGGCTTAAAAGTTGGTTTAAAGTGGAAACGTTTATTGCGTTGAATCAATGCAAATTGTGCCATGAAAACAGGCAAATCGACAAAATTGTTACAAGAGAAATAATATGATAAGCGTAGCGAATCGTTTTTGTGAATTTATGGTGCGTACTTTGATTTATAATTGCATATGTCGTCTGTTTCGAAAACCACATCACTTAACGTGCATGTAGCTTCAGTCTGCACACACATGTATATCGTAGGAAAGATGTTCATGCAATGTGCAATGTTCAAGAGTTTTGGAAATGAAATAGAGAGCAACATTTATGTGACTTACCAGCCATACACATATCCGAAATGAAACTGTTGACATTGGTTTCTTTGTGGTCCGAATGAGGTAAAGTCTCCATTGCTATCGACGCACTACATATTCTATAGACAAAATGAAATGATTTTCCGAACATTTTCCGAAACGATGTATGATTCTTTTTGCTTGTCTCTCTTCAGATTTTAATGTACTCTCAGACAGCGACGGAACGTTTGAAAATCGTTTTTCATTTCACTCGTTCATTCCAAATGCAAAACGGACACACTTGAATTTTCCTCTCTTTCTCATTCTCTCAAGCCATTTCGGTTATTCAATTCAATAGATGTATTTGAATAACTCAATGATCAGAACGTGATAGAATAGCATTTGCGAAACTGCTACCAGTAAGGATGTCCGCTATCTGGCATGGCACGGAATACCGAGGTAGATAATGACCGTGTACGTGTCGTTATGCTGCAGTATATGCCCCGCACGGTGTATACGTGTGCATATGCATATTGTGCACACCATCAATGACCACGTACTTTTCAGCTCGATTGTTTGATATGATTTATTTACCTAATCACAGAATGCTATACGCCATATAGATTTGCTGTCCAACCTACCACCGGCCCACATCCACATTCAAATGGTTTGTTGCAATCGCTTCGGTTTCTGCATTTAAATGTGTCATATTCTCTGTGCATTTTAATGATACGATATTATGACTTACATACTCGGTTTAATTCACTTCGACTTTCTTCGTGTGTCGAAGCATCCCGCACTGTACCCACAAAGTTTTGACACGACAACGACATGTAGCCTTTGTCTATATCACATTTGTTTGCAATTTGAATGGGTTAGGATAAAAGTGAGCTCAAATTTTCATATAAAAAAAT